AACTACCGGGTACATGTGTTCATTTCATCAAATTACATCTGTAATAGCAGGAGTGACCATTATTTGTCACATGTTATGATCATTTTTCTAAAATGATATGTGATATGTAATCTATTGTACAATATAATTATTTCCAACAATAAATACAACCAATGTTTTCTATGAAAGTTTAAAATGTGTAATCTTGTTGCATTTACCAATGTTAAAATGACTAATGTTTGTCGTCCATCACACTGACACTGTTGGGAGATAAGTAGGAAAAAACCTCGGGTACAAAATCCAAGGATATAATTTTTTCTATCAACACCTTTGATGTGCATGAGTAGTTGACTGATCAATGGTTATGTTTATTTAAAAAAAAATAGAAACTCTAAATAATGACAATTAACACATCATGACAATTAACACAGATGTCTATAGCAATCAAAAGCTCGTCAACTGCCATTAAGAAAAATAATCTCACTTTATACAGATTAACATATTCAAAGCAAAGTTCAATTTTAATGAAACATTACTTATCCAGAATATGTCTCACAGAACAGTATGGGACTTGTCTTGGATTTTGTCCATCATCATATAGATGGATGTAAATCAGTATTGTCCTATCAACATCATGGGCCGGATGATTTGATGATCTTCGTAATAAACCCAAATCACTAAACATGACATTATCAAAATAAAAACAGCTGTGGTGAGGTTATAACTTTACTGCATACAACGTTATAGTGAAAAGTGATGGATGTTTAAATGAGAGATTTACCGGTTGGGGTTTGCAAAGGTTTGTATCCACTTGCAGCACATCTTGTATTGCATTGTATTTCAGTTTTTCTTTTCTTACTCAAGTGTTGGCAATTGTTATCACAGTGGGAAGTGTTCAATAACGCAGATATTATGATCTCTTCAAGGGACTGTAGAACTGAACTGAAAATGAAAAGATGCATTCAAAAAATCAGGACTGAAACACAACATGAAAAGTAAATACTGTAAAATACTTTATTTTCGCTTGGAATTAATTTTGGCTGAAGGAATGATTCAGTGAAAATAAAATCCAGCGAATATACCTTTTTTCCTATATTTTACTTTCAACTTGTCAAAAATCAGTAAAAATAAATTCCGTACAAAACACCAAAAATGTCTTTTCAGCGAAAATTAATTCCAGCTAAAATAAAGTATTTTACAGTACTGGTTGACGATATGACCATGGCAACAATAAGAAGCAATTTATATTTCAATCCGTCAATGCGTTGTTGTAGTAACACAGAAAAATTATCTGCGTCACTAGATATCTCAATTCAGCCAAGAAAAATAATTGCGATTCACAAAGGGCATGTTTAATCTTAGCAAAAAATGTTATAAACATATATTATATTAACCCTTGAATGCCTAGGTCAACTTTTGTCACCTTTTCAAAAAATAATTTTTTATTTATTTATTTTTTATCATGACTTGTTAGCCAATGAAAAACAATATTTTGAACCTAAATCAACAAAGAATTTATAATTAAATACATCAAAATGCAGTTGATACAGTTTTTTGGATTGTGACATGATAGGAAAGCATCACAAAATGTTTCATTGCATTTTGAGCTACATAGTATCTATGACCAAACAAATATTAAAACTAGAAAATGAAAGATCACCAGGTTACCTTTGTGAAATATCGGTGGTAGGGTCATCTTTATTCCCAAAGTGAGCCTCTAACTGATTATAAAGACAAGTTTTATCATCCTTACTCGGGACACCATTATCAATACAACCATAAATTAACATCCCATCCTGTGAAAAAAATATGTATATTGTCAAAATTAATTTTCTTGTCAAAAAATTGGCATATATTATTAAGGTTTGTTTTTTCAAGAGTATAGTCTAGGTTGTTCCGTGTTACCAATTTTTCCAGGAATGTTCAGCTGTTGTTATAAAACATTATCACATGACCTTAGTGTATACCATTCACAGCAGTGTAATTTGGTATGTAATTTTAACCAATATTTCACACATGATGATATGCACAATAAACTTCATCAAAATTATATGACGGTTTTATTTTTTAATGCTATAAGAGAATTTCAAATTGAATAACAACAATTATTATAGATCTGTCATTTAGTGGTATTGCACTGGGTATTTTAATGCTACCATATTAGGAAACGCGAATGCCAAGTATGGAACAATTACACATGTAAGAGTTCTCTAATAATAAAAATCAAAATGGCTATTCCAGGGTTTGACTGGACCCACACAAGGAAGTTTGCTTAATCTGTTCTAAACTGTTTGGATTTGGGCATATTCCATGATGTATTCCTGGGAGGAAAAGATGTATAATAATAAAGTTATTACGAGGATACTGCAAAGGTTATTACAAGGATACTGCAATGTATGCAATCAGACACTACGCAGTCGCACCGACCTTGGCTTTGGCCAATACTCCCGCTGTACTGTCTTCATGCAAACTTTGCAGTATCCTCGGAATAACCTCATATTCCAATGCAATTATGATTGAAAGTTTATTTTGAAAAAAATACTATGAAGGGTTATATTTCTGATTTCACAAAATATTGGTGACTGTAACTGCAAATGTGTGTATACTAATGCACTTAGACGTCATGCCCAATGAGCATCTGATTTTTAAGTGTAGTTCAGTAAAATCATGATTTTTCTGTCATTTTTAACAATCATGTGATGAAGAGATTATAACCTGATATCTTTTGTTTGTCGATGACACCATGGCCTATAATATCCATTCACCTTCACTTCATGAATAATAGATCCCATGATGTCACTCATATCAATCACTATATTATGCGGTGATAATGCAAAAATATGGCATCATAAAAACCTCTAATTCTGATAGTTTTATATCAGGTGACAAGTTCAGAGAAATGAAGGTGGAATTCCATATCACAATTTTAAACATTTAAACTTTCATGAAACCAAACTATAAACTTTGTGTTAATATATAATGTAAGCCAGTAAGGACATTCAAATGTCAAAACAAATGTGTAGATTTATTCATCTGTAAAAAATTACTGCATAGAACACACTGACATGACATTATGCTGACATTCAAACTTGTGCATATACATCATTGGACATCATTGGACCCATCTCATTAAAATCTTGTGGGAACAGAAACCAATCAGAGCTTGTGTTACAGGCTGCTATTTAGTAAGGCGTATTCTAATTGGTTGACAGAGCATGGAAGTCGGATGTAATTAGAGGTGATGTCATCAGTGACCAGAATTGAAAGTGACTGGAGCCTTTATCTGTATCTGATTTCAGCAAGATTACCATGTGACATACTCAAAAGGTTAACAACTCCTACATATAGTTGATAAATAAAGCATTTAGTAAGAAATCTACGCATGAGACAAGATAAGATTACAAAGAGAGACAACTTACCTTGAATATCCGCAGGTTGTTTTGAGGGTTTAATGCGAGTGATGATAGAGCATAATGCATGCGGTTCACATGGCTTCAAAAAAAAAAATAGGCAACATATGTCACCAAAATGAGAATATAGTTTTACTTTAAATCAGATACCTGTATTCCATTTATTAAGGGCAAATAGATACAGACATGA